TCAGATGTTCGCTGTTGGACACTTGGATGCTCTTCTTCATCCTATAGCTGTGCTTCATCAAGGACACAACTGAGAATAGAGTAGTGATGAACATCACCATAAAAGGCCCAAAAGAATTAGCTATTGTACTGTAGATAAATGTTGTTCTTGATTGAGAAAAAGTAGAGACAATAGACACCAACCTATCTGTGTTATTATGAAAGAGTTCCGGAGAGAAAATGAAGAACAAGCTGCTCAGGATGCTGTTGAACAGAGACGCCAATAAATCGCCCAATAACAACCATGGAACAACGGAGGCAATGTTCTTCTTGATCCGGGAAAAAAATCCTGACTCAAAGTTGGAAATTTTTATGAAGTAGAAGAAACCCAGACTGGCTGAAAGCCACCCACATGAACTGATAGTGAAAAGCAACAAACAGAAATAAATATAAGCTGTAGGGATCATGGAGAAGATCCCAAGGCTGCAGATATAATCAAGTATACCGACCAACATCAAGAAACCAAAGCACATGTTGGAGAGGCTTAGACAAAGCAAGATTTTGTAGCTGCTAATCAGTGTTTTGGTTTTGATGAAATCCTGATACATCATATATATCACGGACAGATACATTAACATGCCAGCAATGATCACCAGAACTAAAGCAATAATATAAGGCGAGTGGTGTTGGGCGCAGACGTCAGGATTCATGATTGCAATGCAAATGATGGTTGAATCTCTTCTCTGGTATCTACTCCAGATTGGGTGTTTAAATATTTTCTTGCGTTGTCCTGAATTGCAATGGTGGGTAGGTTTCCTTTTGGCTTTATAGTTCAGATCTTGAATCTCTTCTCTGGTATCTACTCCAGATTGGGTGTTTAAATATTTTCTTACATAGTCCTGAATTGGAATGTTGGATAGGTTTCCTTTTGGCTTTTTATAGTTCAGATCTTGAATCTCATCTCTGGTATCTACTCCAGATTGGGTGTTTAAATATTTTCTTACATAGTCCTGAATTGGAATGTTGGATAGGTTTCCTTTTGGCTTTTTATAGTTCAGATCTTGAATATCTTCTCTGGTATCTACTCCAAATTGGGTGCTTAAATATTTTCCTGCGTTGTCCTGAATGGCAATGTTGGATAGGTTTCCTTTTGGCTTTTTATAGTTCAGATCTTGAATCTCTTCTCTGGTATCTACTCCAGATTGGGTTTTAAATATTTTCTTGCGTTGTCCTGAATTGCAATGGTGGGTAGGTTTCCTTTTGGCTTTTTATAGTTCAGATCTTGAATCTCTTCTCTGGTATCTACTCCAGATTGGGTGTTTAAATATTTTCTTACATAATCCTGAATTGGAATGTTGGATAGGTTTCCTTTTGGCTTTTTATAGTTCAGATCTTGAATCTCATCTCTCTGGTATCTACTCCAGATTGGGTGTTTAAATATTTTCTTGCATTGTCCTGAATTGGCAATGTTGGGTAGGTTTCCTTTTGGCTTTTTATAGTTCAGATCTTGAATCTTCTCTTCTCTGGGGTATTTTCCTGCTGTCCAGATTGGGTGCTTTTTAATCTTATCTTTCTCTTATCTACTCCAGATTGGGTTGCGTTGTCCTGAATGGCAATGTTGGGTAGGTTTCCTTTTGGCTTTTTATAGTTCAGATCTTGAATCTCTTCTCTGGTATCTGCTCCAGATTGGGTGTTTAAATATATTCTTGCGTTGTCCTGAATGGCAATGTTGGGTAGGTTTCCTTTTGGCTTTTTATAGTTCAGATCTTGAATCTCTTCTCTGGTATCTGCTCCAGATTGGGTGTTTAAATATTTTCTTGCGTTGTCCTGAATGGCAATGTTGGGTAGATTTCCTTTTGGCTTTTTATAGTTCAGATTGTTGAATCTCTTCTCTGGTATCTACTCCAGATTGGGTGCTTAAATATTTTCTTGCGTTGTCCTGAATTGCAATGTTGGGTAGGTTGCCTTTTGGCTTTTTATAGTTCAGATCTTGAATCTCTTCTCTGGTATCTGCTCCAGATTGGATGCTTAAATATTTTCCTGCATAGTCCTGAAGGCAAGTAGGGGTCCTTTGTCAGAGCTTTGTCTGGGTGAGCTGCGGAGAGTTGTGAACATGAATGTTGTTAGATAGGTGAGGAAGGTGTAACAGGAGAACAGATGATGGGAACACCTGAGAGACCCAACCCATCGGGTGGTGTGATGGTCCTTCATTTAAATACATGCAAAGTGCCAAGATCTAACATTACCTCAGCTGGAACTCTTCATTATATAAAACAAACATTATGGAAAAGAATGATTATATTTCCCTTAATGACCGGATGATTTCTTTCTGGGATATTGGCCTGTCAGATTTATGGAAAAGCTCTGTTTGGTAATTTCCTTTAAAAAAGGATTATTCAAAGTTTTCTATGTTTATTAGACTGATCAGACCTTTATAACTACACACTTTTTTTCCTGTAATGGTTGATTTTCAGCAAGCAACAAATAACAAGTGCTATCAAATGTTCCTTTTTTTAAAAATAAATAATGGGCAGCACAGCTGCTAAATGATTAGCACTTCCGCCTGGCAGTAATCGGGTCGTTGGTTCAAACCCCAACCACGGCACCTCCTGCCTGGAGTTTGCATGTTCTCCCGGTGCCTGCATGGGTTTCCTCCGGGTACTCAGATTTCCTCCCACAGTCCAAAGACATGCTGGGAGGTGAATTGGATCCTGTCTAAATTGGCCCCAGTATGTGTATGTATGAATGTGAGTTAGGGACCTTAGATTGTACGCCCCTTGAGGGTTAGGGACTGATGTGAATGTACAATATATATGTAAAGAGATGCGTAATTTGACAGCGCTATATAAGTATAATAAATAAATAACAAACATATCATACTTACCTGCACTGTAATGGTTTTGCACAGAGCAACCCCCATCCGCCTCTTCTCAGGTCCCCCGTCAGCACTTCAGGTTCCTCCCTCCTGCCTAGTGCCCCCATAGGAAGCAGCTTGCTATGGGGGCAATGGTGCTTGCTTGTTCCCAAACTGGCTCTGTGTGTCCATTGACACACAGAGTGCAGCTCGGCCCCGCCCCCAATCCCTCTTCACTGGCTGTGACTGACAGCAGCTGGATCAATGGCTGCCACTGCTGCCTGTCTGTCCAGTGAGTGGAGAAAGCTCAGAAGAGCCGCTGCTCTGTGTCCATTTACATATGGAGTGTGGCTCAGCTCTGCCCCAACCCACTTTTATCTCATTGGCTCTGTGTGTCCATTGACAAAGAGTACAGCTCAGCCCCGCCCCCAATCCCTCTTCACTGGCTGTGACTGACAGCAGCTGGAGCCAATGGCTCCCACTGCTGCCTGTCTCTCCAGTGAGTGGAAAAAGCTCAGAGGAGCCGCTGCTCTGTGTGTCTGTTCACATATGGAGCATGGCTCAGCTCCTCCCCGCTTTCTCTTCACTAGCTCACTGGCTATGATTGACAATATTGGGAGCCAATGGCTACCACTGCTGCCTCAGCCAATGAGAAGGGAAAGCCCCGGATCCCCTGCACATCCCTGGATCAAGAGGGCTTAGGTAAGTTTTAGGGGGCTGCTGCACACAGAAGGTTTTCTACTTTCATGCATAGAATTCACGAAGGTGAAAAAACCTTGAGCCTTTACAGCCACTTTGAACTTGTTGAAGAAGAAGTTAGGTACTGTAGATCCTTTCTGAGCAATGAAATGTAAAGCCCAACTCCAGGAATTAACATAAATGACTCTTTTAGTGGGCCTCCCGCGCTGCAAGGATGAAATGCTCAATATGTCTTGGGGTGCACAGTGCCGGCTCTATCACCTACCTTATACCTGCTCCCGCCAACTGGCTCCGTTGTTTTTCTCCTCTCCCCGAAGCTCCGGTTTGTGGGTGAAGTCTCTGAATCACCACGCACAATAAAAGGACACTTACCCTGTATTGTAAGTTGAGAAGGTTGGAGTGCCACCGGAGCTGGTTGCAGCTTACGGAGGAGGCTATGGAGGACCATTGGAGAAACCTTGCTGGATCCAGGAGTAAGTTATGTATTTACTCCTTTCTCTGCACCCCAAGACATAACCAGCATTTAACCCTTGCAGTAAAAGGGGTTGAAAGTATTCTTGGATTCTCCAAATGGGTTCAAAGCTTTATACAGCGGTCACAGCATATTGACAAAACCAACGTTTTGGAGCCACGCAAGGCCCTTCATCAGGCAAGTGTCACAATGTGGATTCCTAAGTTATAGTCAGTTCCTACAGTGCTGTGCACCATCAGAATGTTGGCTGCCAACAAAACATGGACCCATTGTTGGAAGCTGGAAGCGTCATCCCACCCAATACTTTACAAAGCTTCCAGGCTCTAGAATCTGTACCAGGATTTACCAATCCTATGGAAAACTTGAAGGCCATTTCTTGCCACACCCAATCCATCCCCTGTAAGAAAATGTCCAGCTATGGAAACTTTACATGCTTTCCCACCACCCTATAGTGGAACTACTGCTACAGGGTGGCAGGGCTGCTGTGTAAAATCATGTACAGTATATGTGATTTGGATTTCCAGGTAGGGGGTGCACGGGTGCGCCACCCTACCCGTGCCACCATTGGGGGCTAGGGATGTCAATCATCAGGTCCTGGGCAGAGATTCCTGCCGTCACCCGACGATTGTCAGGGAAAGCTGACAGGGGAGAGGACTGTATGTACACAACATAAGTCTCTCTCCTGCCAGCAAGGACATGCTGCTTTGTATCTCTGTGCACAGCATGTCCCCCTAGTAACACAGAACACTGTTAACCCCTTTGATTGCCCCAGATGTTAACCCTTCTCAGGCTGACCATTTGGAAACCCGGGCACTGCCCGAGGGCTCGGGGTCAGTAGGGGGCCCCATGAGATGCCCCTGGTACATTTTTCATAGGTTTTTTTTGAGTTTGGGCAAGGACACAGGGGCCCCATGATCCCCTATTGCCTGGGGGCCCCATGAGTTGTTTGTCCACCCCTGCCCCTTCCTGCCCAGTGCCATTAGTACAGTGTCAGTACTTTTTATTAGCACTGATCACTGTATTGGTGTCACTGGGTATGTCAGTGGCAGTTAGTCAGTCCCCCCCCCCCCCCCCCCCCCCCCAGTGTCAGGATGCCCACCGCAGTCCCGCTATAAGTCGCTGATCGCCGCCATTACTAGTATAAAAAAAATAAAAATCCCGGTATCTATCCCGCCATTTGTGGACGCTATAACTTTCTTGTAAACAAATTAATTTACACATATCGGGATTTTTTTTTAGCAAAGACACGAAGCAGAATCCATTTTGGCCGAAATTTATGAAGAAATTAGATTTCTTTAACATTTTTTTTATTGGACATGTTTTATAGCAAAAAGTAAAAATGTTTTTTTTTTTCAAAATTGTCGGTCTGTTTTTGTTTATAGCGCAAAAAACGAAAAATGCACAGGCGATCAAATACCACCGAAAGAAAGCTCTATTGGTGGGATCAAGTGACATACATTTAATTTAGGTGCGGCATTGCATGACCACGCAAGTGTCAGTTAAAGTGACGCAGCACCGCATCACAAAAAATGGCCTGGTCAGGAAGGGGGTGGGGAATCCTCTGGAGGGGGAGGGGTTAATGTATAAAAATATTCAACGTCAGGTATTGTCTATGACAGGATCATTACATTGCACTGATGTTCATCTTTGTTGGGTGACCCCTGACCTCAGCTTTGGAGACGGCTTTGACCAAACCCTTTGTCACACCACCATCACAGCTCATCCAGGTGACCCTGTCCTTGTATTCTGGATATTTATTACCAGCTGTAGTTGCTAAGATTGTACCTCTTTCTTGAATTCTCATTTATAAAATGTACAGAAAACTTCCAGTTGTTTATTTTAGTTTTTCTAAGAGTTTGACAAAGATTTAAATCTGACTGTTGAATAACGATGGATAATGAAGCTCCTTGTATCTAATGCTGGCTGGTTTTGGTTGTTTATTTGTCATGCAACAGGATCCTTAGTGTGAATGTTTTATGTTTACGGACATTTAGTGGAAAGACCATAGAATGTGTCAGATTTGGTGCAGATACATGCTGGAGGTCTTCAGTTGCCAATGGTCCGCAATGTAGCTGGCAAAAGGCAGGCAAAGGGCCACATCCGGCCCCTGGGCCACAGTTTGTAGACCACTGATCTAGACAATTATCTTGAATGGATTGGCCAGCTATAATTGTAATTGTACAAGGTGGATGTTGTATTTTATTGTCAGCTTTCACGGAAATGATCTACAAGTTTCATCGATTAGGTACACGCGTCTTGGAAATCACCGAAAATAAAGAAGTCATCCATGGATTAGAATGTAATGAGTGATACTCCTGAGATGCCGATACGTTGTATCATGGAATATGGAAGAAGAAGCTTTTATTTCATTGTTGAAGTCCTGCGTTGTCAGCTGAAGGTATAGTCCAGGGTTTCTCAACCAGGGTTCCATGGAACCCCAAGGTTCCTCCAGAGGTTGCTAGAGGTTCCTTGGGCAATGAACAATTTCTGCCTTGCAAATAAGTTCCACTGACACCATTCATCTTTTTAGTTATCTGTAAGGGAGTAATTCTTCCCAATGTTCACAAGTTTAAGGAGCATTCTTCTCACTGACCATCACTGTGTGGAGGTAGAAGTATCATGGTCATGTGTGTCTGATCTATGAGAGAGGATGAATGGATTTTGTGGGGGATGACCTTTTGTGTGGATATCTGAGATAGGAGGGGAGTTGGTGCAATCATTATTGGGAGTTGGATAGAGATCGGCTATAGGGTGGTGAACTGAAAATTGAGCATGGGCATAGTAGCGGGTATAGGGGAAGAATGGGCTAGATTAGGCATGGGCGCAGTGGTGGCTATGGTGGGAGGTTGAGTTTTGGGGTTGGGTTCCCCATCTGAAGTGCCATGTGGGAAAAGCGGCAGTTCAGTAATTGTGGCTTTGTGAGCAGGGGCAGAAAGTGATAGAGTATTGGCAGGAGTGTCCTGGGACTGACATAAAGGGTAAATGGGATGTACAATAGATGGATCTATGGTGAGGAGGGAAGGGATGTTATGATAGCGCTTGTTCCAGGTGAAAACTATATTGGAGTTGTAGTCATCCAAGTCTCTACGGAATATTTGGAGTTTGGTTTTAATGAGGAAATCTTCCTTTCTCTTAGTATTCTTTTTAAGAGTGTTTAGCCATGATGTAGGGATAGAGATGTGGAAGTCTATAATATCAGTGGCCAACATTTGTACATGGTGGGTCAGTTGTTCAAATCTGGAGTGTCTATGGGTGATGAGGATATCTATCCATTTGGATGTACAGAACTCGGAAACGGCAATCCATTCTTTGTGGGTATTGGGGGTCAAGAAAGGACATACAGTTGTGTTCAAAATAATAGCAGTGTGTTGAAAAAAGTGAATAAAGCTGCAAATCCTTCTAATAGCTTTTATTTCCATCCACACAAATGCATTGGGAACAGGACACATTCTATTCCAAATCACAACAGGAAGAAAAATACATCAAATTTGTGTTGTTCCTCTAAAAAGATGGAAGAAAAGTGAATATTAGACGGTTCAAAAAAATGGCCGTGTTTGTATTCTTCTTTCCAAACTCCAACATTCACTATATAAACTGAGAAATGTTTGAAGATTTTGCTTTCCTTTGAATGACTTCATGAATATTTGGTTGTAGTCGCACTGTTTCTGAGAACTGCTGTACATCTGTGTTGCATGGAGTCCCCCAACTTCTGGCCCCTGTGATCAGGTATTCCAGCCCAGGATGATTGGACCACATTCCACAGTTCTTCTCGATTTCTTGGTTTGGCCTCAGAAACGGCATTTTTGATGTCACCCCACAAGTTTTCTATTGGATGAAGATCCGGGGATTGGGCTGGCCACTCCATAACGTCCATCTTGTTGGTCTGGAACCAAGATGTTGCACGTTTACTGGTGTGTTTGGGGTCGTTGTCTTGTTGGAACCCCCATTTCAAGGGCATTTCCTCTTCAGCATAAGGCAGCATGACCTCTTCAAGTATTCTGATGGATTCAAACTGATCCATGATCCCTGGTATGCGATAAATAGGCCCAACACCGTAGTATGAGAAACATCCCCATATCATGATGCTTGCACCACCATGCTTCACGGTCTTCACAGTGTACTGTGGCTTGAATTCAGTGTTTGGGGGTCGTCTGACAAACTGTCTCCGCCCACTAGACTCAAAAAGAACAATCTTACTTTCATCAGTCCACAAAATGTTGCGCCATTTCTCTTTAGGCCAGTCAATGTGCTCTTTGGCAGATTGTAACCTCTTCAGCACGTCTTTTTCCCAACAGTGGGACTTTGCGGGGACTTCTTGCAGATAGCTTGGCTTCACATCGGCGTCTTCTACTTGTAACAGTCCTCACAGGGAACGTCACACCTTCTTTCATCTTCCTGGAGCTGATTGTTGGCTGAGTCCGCCCCATTTTGGCTATTCTTCTATCCATTCCAATGGTAGTTTTTCGCTTTCTTCCGCGTCTTTCAGGTTTTGGTTGCCATTTTAAAGCATTTGCCATCATTTTAGCTGAGCAGCCGATCATTTTCTGCACTTCTTTATATGTTTTCCCCTCCAATCAACGTTTTAATCAAGGTACGCTGTTCTTCTGAACAATGTCTGGAACCACCCATTTTCCTCAGAATTTCAGAGAGAAATGCACTGTAACCAGCATGTCCAACATTTGCTGCCTTCCTTCCTTAAATAAGGGCAATCATTGCCACCTGTTTATCAAAGAATGAATGACCTCACTAATAGAACTCCTCCCTGCTATTATTGTGAACACGCCCCTTTCAATGAGGGATTCAATGACACAGAATCAGCAGCATGCATGTCATGTCTGTTGGATTTCTATGACTCTACTACACCTGCTAGGAAATTATTTGCCATGTAGAAATATCATTTCCACCAAAAACAGTGATTGATCCGGTTAGTGATGTCTGACTGCTATTATTTTGCACACAACTGCATTTTGAGGATTCTGAGACATCTGGGAGTTATTTTGGACAATCTGTATTGTAGTAGTAAAAATTCATCCCACCATTGGATATTGGCGGAGTGGATAATTCTCGCTGAATGTGACCGACCTCGGACATCTTGGAGACTCTGCCAGGCTTCACCACCTATGCTACACATACACAGAACCATCTGCTGGTGGACCTAGGCTATCTCCTTCTGCTACAGTCACCCAACATCTGGCTATAAGACATTTTGCCTCTCCACTACATGAGCCTGTTTTTAATTTTTAAGATGTGAGTTACTATTTATCTTCTTTTATTAAATACTATTACAGTACACACTTAGAGGTGCTGTGGTCCTTTGTTCCAGTTGTGTCCCATTTGGAAGGTTTCCCCTCTATTCCTGCTCTGCCGACAACTGCAAATTTAGGATTTCCTCATCACTTTCAGCCCTGGTGACAATGATCACCAGAAGAAAAAAAAGAGGGGGAATGCCCCAAGTGGGGACAGAAAAAAAAAAAAACACAACAGGGAGTATAATCCTTCCACAGGTCAAAGAAGATTGAAAGCGTTGCCTTTGGAAAAACTTTAATTTTCACTATCACACTTATTTCTAGAAATAAAAATGTTTTTAGATGTTCTAGCTAAGGATTCTCTACACTTTAAGTTTCTGTGTTCCTCCAGCTTCTGGTCCAGAAACATCTCAGAACCATCCTTCTCAGCTTGTTGCTGGCCTGGAAGATGATGGCCGCCTCAAGTGAAGGGGAGAATAATCGTAAACTCCAACTGACTATAGGTATTAACAGGGAGGAAATGTGAAGAAACACAATCACTTGAGACATGCAGAAAAATGTGAAGATGAAAAGTAAGAAGAAGATTGTCCTCAGTGCCGTCACATGAGCCTGAAGATTTGGACGTGTTGATTCAGAGTCGCTATTCTTCACCCTCCAGACGTGTCTGAGCAGAAAGGAGGAAGTGAGGACCAGGCACAGGAGACTGAGGGAGAATGGCAGAATGATGCCTAGGAAGGTCACTGGCAGGAAAAGGGAAAGACTGACACGGAACCTGAAAACAGAGGATCCTGTACTGTTCTCAGAAGACGGGATA